TCGCCTTGATCAATTCCGGATCAGGGTGTACGCCTTGCTTACCTACAATGCAGCCAAGAAGTATAATTTGCTAGCTGCATATATACAATTCTTGAGGTTCGCGAACAACGTATGCTCTCGCATTAGTGTAAGAACCTATCGGAAATGGATTCTATGAGCCTCCACGTACGTCTTTCCTGCCATATCCCGGCTATGGACGAAGCAAAACTGTTTGGAATGGGTCAAAATTGGCGCGAAAAAAAATTGTTGGTTGGTCATGCTTTGGAGCCCCTATTGCTCAGTTTGAAGTGGCTGTATATTACCTTTACACTGCCTATACCTTTTCGCCCTTGCTTAAATCCTATACTTTCATAATAAATTTTTTCTATTCTTTTTCTTTTTTTTTGGCCGCTTTGAGGGCGGGACTGTCTTGATTCACCAGAGGTCGTCCGCTCCTCAAGCTAATTTTCTCTTAGGCACCGGGTTCCCATAGTACCTTCAAGACTTCTTGGTTCTTGCGACCTTCCTTCGGTCGGAGGTGGGATTCGTACCCGCAATCGCTGAATTAACCGGGTTGGTACTACACCACTGCACCGGCCGGTGCGATCGGTGCGCGATTGCGCGCACCGATCGCAACAGATTTGTAGCACATCTGTCAAACGTTGCGGGGGTGTTACTTGGCCCTGTGGCATCATTAGCCACTCCCAGAGCATACCGCTGGGGGTGCTCACTGCTGTGTACGGGATGTCCCGTTCACGCATGAGGATCTGATAGAAGCCATCCATCAGATTCATGGACGAAAAGATGGTACTCTTTGCCATACCATCTATGACGACATCCTTCCTTGGAATCGTCGTTTGAGCCGGTAATGTTGCAGCGTGTAATTTGTTGAACGCGTGCACTATCCACCACCCTCCTGTGGCCTTTCGCACACAGAAGGTCGGAGAGCTGTGTGGGGATGTTGATCGCCTCACATGACCAGCCGCTAAACGATCGGCAAAGATTTTGTCGATCGCTGTGACCTTTTTACGAGGCAGTGGACACTTCTTGATGACAAAGTACTTCGAGCCTGGTTTTAGGATAGATTTCATGCCGAGTGTTTTTGTCCTTAGGCATATCGCATGACACGGATTCAGATAACCATAGCTTAAGTCGATAAAAACCTCTTACAAAGGGTTCGATTTTCAAAGACTGCCAAGATTAAGACGTGCACTGCTCGATTAGGGTGTCTTCATCGAGAACACTCTCGTCCATCGATAAGCTACTGAGAGCCGTTCGTTCTCAGTAAACAATTGTGCCAACTGAATACAGGTGACGTACTCGTCCTCTGTGACGAGTACGCAGATCTGCTTGTTCTTGTCACAACGCGGATCTCGCAAGAATCTTTTGTATTCTAGCGTTGGCAGCTTAATTACCTCCGAAAGTGATTTCGGACGTTTAACCAGATCAAGCTCCTACGACTGATCCGTCATTCACCAAGACATTCGCTGTCTCGGTGGTTTTTTATGGAAACACATCCTCAGGTGGCTGGGTAAACACACCCTCAACATAACTCTCTCGGGAGAGATATCACTATCAGGAACGCTGAAAATTTATTTTGTTACGTGTTCTGACTGTGGGTCAACTACCGCAGTCACGTCCTCTTCGATCGGCTCTCTGATAGTAGATCTCGATTTAACGTGTTGTTCATCTTGAACAACACTGACACCTCTTCTCGGATGCACACTTCTTGGTGTGCATCCGTGTTCCAGTCCACTCGATCTCTTCAAGTGGTGGACCTTCGGCGCAGCCTGTGTCCCTACACAATGGCCGGAAGCTGGTTCCACAGTGCAGTGGCCTTCTACACTGTGATCTTGTCCAGTCAAAATGACGAACGTACCAAAAGTGAGGCCATCGCACTCACCCGCAGTACATCCACACGCTTGTGGACGCTCCAAGACGTTTATCAGATGGCTATCTGATGAACAAGCGACAGGCATCTTCACGGATCGATGCTGCCAGCTGACCCATGGATGGTATTTTCTGAGCCATGGCAGACCGAGGATGACATCAAATTTTCATCCAAATCCAGTACGATGAAGTCATCATCGTACTGCTTTCCTTCCAGCATGTAATGGATTCCCACTACACGTTCGTTCACTGTTACGGATGCGCCTGTAGCAAGGCACACCGTCATCCTCGTTGGAGGAATGTCTCGATAAACATAGTTGAAACTACCAACCTCCAGCGAATGGCGTCGAATAAAACTGCTCGACGCTCCACAGTCAACAAGGGCGCAGAGTGACATACCACTTGTCACTTCGATCTTCAAAGTGATGAGGGACACCTCATCACCAGGGGCAGTAACACCAAGCGACTGAGTGTTGGAGCAACCCTCGTTAAGAGTAATGCAAATTATCTTGAAGTTGTCAGATCAGAAGGGTGCTCCGCCCCCACTGACCCGGACCATTTTTGGCGGTTTGACTTGATGTCGCGGTTTAGCAAAATGGTCGGATCCACGCCTTGGACCTTTCCTCGGCCAACGGCGGTCATAACGTCCTGTCTTTGGACTTGGTGCGGTGCTTGGGACACTACACTCATGAGCTTAGTGTCCAATGTTCTGACAGCGATGGCATTTTGCCGTTATCTTGTGACTCAGAGAGCGAGAGTTCTCACTCTCGATGTAAACGAGGTCCATTGGTTCGGGACCTCCTGTTTCCTGTCATCTAGTCGGACGGTAGTTTGACGAGTTTCCTGAAGATGCCTCGGGATGTAGTCTTCTTTTTCCGCATACCCTATCGCCTTTTTTAGTGTATGGAAATCCTCTCGGAACATGTAGGTCTTTACCGGTCCATCTACAAGGCCGTAGATGAACACGTTGACGTGTGTGTGCTCATCGTAAGGGTTTTACGTGACGCTACTCGCAAGGTAGCGTAGGTGTTGTGCGTAAGCATGCACATCACGCTTACATTGCTTGAGCACCAGGAGTGCAAAGCGTGCTCTGAACTCGGCTCGTGGCGGCTTAAACGTCTCTTTGAGCCGAGACTTTAAGATCTACAACGACATAAACATGTTTGGTTCGAGAAGCTTGATCCCGAAGGCCAAAGTCTTTGCTCGTCCTGTCAGATTTGACAGGGCGAAGGTGACTTGCATCTCGTCACCCTCGATGTGACGGGCCCTGATGGCGTCGTCCAATTCGACGAACCATCTCAAAAGGGAATCTTCATCGGTTCCCTTGTACCTTAGTATATCTATCTTCAAGATTTCGGCACGATGGATGTGCGTCGGCACGTCCATCGACTGATGAGAGCCCTGCTGTTGTAGCAAGGCTATCGTCTGTCTTTCGACGGCAAGTTCCCTTTGTAGGAACTTGTTGATAGCAGCGTGTTGTTGGTCACTAATTAGAGACTCCAACATGCCACTGATGGCGGGTTCGCCCATGAGCACACTCATGCGACCGACTACCTTCCATTCGAGTCACTCAGATGGGAGCAGCCTTCACGTGTGACGTGAAAGCTGTCGTCTTCTACGTCCAACAAGTTCATGGTGCACGAACATTAAGTAGTCGTTGGACAGACTAAGAAGTGCTACCAGGTGTTACGAAGCACCCTTGGTTTGGGGTGCCACAAAATTTCACGTACACTAGTACGTGCAGAGAAAGCTAATCGTCTCAAACGACTCGTTTAAGCAAGGGTAAGAGAGAGCTGTATTTAATGTAGTTAAGCTATCAATATAACTGTAATCTTTATCTAACTATGTTAATCTACATAGTCGTATGACGACAACCTGCTCACCACTCATTGCGCGCGTCTAGCAGCGATTGGTGGTAATTTATGCTTGATATGTCTTTATCAACCAATCCTTTAGCAGCGCATTAAATCATAGAAGTGGATACTGTTACTTCGATTTGTCCATCTCAAATTTTATTGGTAGGGAATTGTCACGCTAGACAATCTCCCTATTGACACCGTTCGGTGTCAAACTCATGTAACGGGCTACCCCGTTACATTTATCGTCAACAATCTACAAGAACGGGGAGCGCCCATACCAGATGACTGGTAAGTCTTGTGTTGACTGAACACAAGGCTACGTGCGTTCGACGAACGCAAACTTGGCGTGTAAGGAAGCGCAGCGAAGTAAACAGAATTAGGAGATCTGTTTAGGGACCAAGTGTAGCTATATATTATTTAGTTAAGTATCTTTGTAAATCATTTTCGTCTTGATCTAACTACAGTAAACTACAATCTCTTATGTGGGTTTTCTAGCTCACAACCGATTGCGCGCGTCCATCATTGATTGGTGGACGATTTGGTTGATGTAGTGTCGAAATCAACCAAAAGTGGAGCATCACAGGATAATACCTTCGGGGTTAACATTTCGCCAACATCACTTCTTGGCGGGTGATGTCGATTATTTATTTTCTAAAATAGATAATATACATAAATTTGCTACGTTCGTATCAATCTTGTGTAACGAGCTCACCCCGGTACACTAAACGTCCGCCACGGTCCAACGACATTTACGAAAGCTTAAACGAGACTGCCGCATCGGACTTTTCAAAGTTTGCTGCCGTTAACATCTCTACAGGCACTTTTGAGACACTACCGTCCGACTCCGTGTCTATTTCCATCCAGCTTCTTCTGCACTTCAAGATCGTCGCTACGAGTTCAGTAGTAACACCACATGACCGAGTATCGCTGAAGTAACTGCCTTAGCAGCTTCAGCGGCAACACCTCGTGGCACGTAATCCAAGCCCAAACTGTCACATGCCATCGTCATCTGTCTTACAACTCCCGTCTCATTCTCCCCCCCCCCAACGAAGAGTAAAGAACTACGTTAAAACAATTCGCAGTCCTCAGCTGAACACCCACCCACTCGTCTCTGTCATCCTCCTCCTCTCCTTCTTCTTTTCCAGTAAATCCAGCCCTGGCTTTGTAAATTAAACGCGACATAAAGGCCAAACTATTCCGCCAATCAACACGGAACAAAAACGACACGACCGACAGACCGTTTGGATATTCTTTTTTCGGAGCTCTCGAGAGATGACGGCGACGGCTGCTCACGAGTCGGATCCTCTGTTCCAGCGCAGTGACGCCCTCTCGTCCACAACGTCCAACTCCACCGCCCCACGATGTTACGGCGGATTCGAGCAGCAGAAACGCGCGTGGGTGTCCACAGCGCAGCGGTCGCGGCGGATTCGCGGGATTGCGGGACTGCAGCTGCTCTTGGGGCTAATGGCGTCCGGCAACTACTTGTGGCTGTCAAATATCTTGATGGTTGTAGTCGGAGGTGTTGGGCTCGTGGCGGCACGATCGGAGCGCACGAGCTGGACCATTGTGGTGCGTCCGGTGCACGGGGTTAAATGCAGTTCACAAGAAGGATGCACGTACCCTGACGTTCCTGTGTTGTTGCTGTCGATTTATTGCTGCTTTTGATGGTTGTATTTGTGATGCAGTACTTGTTGCTGAGTGTGATGGAGTTTGCACGGATTGTGTTGCTCACGCCGCATTTGCACGAGCGGTTTGAAGTGCCTGGAAGCGCTTTTTCGCGCTACGAGATGTTTCAAATTGTCGTGCTCGTGCTGGAAGAAGCGCTGTTTGTGGTACGATGTTGGCTATTTTGTCGGATGTTTTGTTGGGAGTTTATGCTTGTTGTGGTGGCTGGTATCTGATGGCGAAGTGTTGTCGGATGTGCTTTTTCGTGGCGGGTTGTGCAATCGTAGCCAGCAGCGTTCTATGTGTGCATTGTTGCCGCTGCAGCAGGTGCCAATCCTTGGGGTTAACACTTGGTACAATTCGCTAGTGTGCTGCACAATCTGAGCACCACGTTTATTCGAAAGGGCGAGGCAAGCGCGACGATGGACCGGACGATGATCTTACCGCTTGCTTCTCCGACTTACAAGCTTGAAAGTGGTTGTCTATCATCATGCCAACCAATAGAGGAGTGGCCAAGCTGTGACGTCAGTATCCTGTGTCCAGGGTGACTGGGCAACGTCTTTTAGCTACTTCCTTGTATTTCCGCACAGCTAACTTAATCTATATTGCTTTACGACTATAGGTCTGCGTTTCGTCTACGCTTGTCTGCTCGTATAGTGGAGTAATTTAGATCAGCTCGATCGCGCCGGACTCGACATGCGCCTGAACGCTACGATAACGCAGCACGTAGCGATCCGACGAAGCGACTTGGACAAAACTTGCTCCCTTGTCGTCGCACTGCACACCGCCTGCGTCCTTGCCTTGACAGAACACGAAGCCGTCCAAATTCGGCTTGAGCACTAATCCGTACATCCAAACGGCCATCAGAATCATTCATAGCAGCTAGATAAATCGCATTACCACTCGTAAATGTCCACCATGTCCTTACCCATGCCTTCAGCAGATAGCGACCGAGACTCCTCGTCAAGCTTGCTCAGTGCCAAATCATTCACATGCGACTCATAGAGCATCATGAATCTACACATCGCAAAGAAGAAGCCAGCACCACTCACTACAAGTCAAGTCGGTCGTCAATCTATAGTCGAGAGACGCAACGTACTGCTGGGCAAAGCTGCGTTCTTTCACCGACAGGCGTTGCATCAGTTCATCGTCTTCCAAAAGATGAAAGGCAAACTTCTCAATCTGCCGAATCCCCCCCCCAATGTATCACGAAAGCAGCAGCAACAATGCACTACAAGTGAGCACTTCATATACCCAATAAAAAACCTACTTGATGCTGTTGATTGCAAGTACCTTTCGCAGACGCGTGCGGAGATACGACGAGACCATGTACCGCAGTCGGTCAATCTCCATCTGATAGAGTTTGTTCACCAAGCATTTCTGCTCTGTCAGCTGGTCACGATCTTCATTCATCGAGTCGACGTATTCCTGCTGATTGCGAATTTGCTCGAGCATCTCGGACACCATTTCGTCGCTGTATTGCAGGATCTCAGGGGCGTGCTGCACACAACGAGAGCAAAGTAAGGATGGTCGCGTCTCTTTATTATCTTCTTTAATCATCCTCTATCATCAGATCAAGCGTGTAGTTTGTATCAAAAGAATCAGAAAGAAGAGATACATACACATACAGACACACGTACGAGCTCGTTCACCCACAGCGTCCGCATCCGCACGACGTCTTCATTTAAATGCTCGGGATTAAATTCGGGCTGCGACGACATTTTCCAGAGTGGCATGCCTTTCAAACCAGACCACACGAGATGGCTACAGTCGATAATCGCCAGGACATAGTCCTGGGTTTTGTGCCACACGCCGACAACAACAACAGTGACGGCAAGTGTAGCCATGTCGAGAAAGGCAAGATGGGCATATATTTTCCGGAGCTGCTCGCTGCATGCAAGCGGTGCAGAGTCTTTTTATCCGGGTTCAAGCACGAGCACGAGCTCTATTTGACATTCAGTAGTAGAAAAAAAGACAAGGAGAAGTAGAAGCGGCAAAGAAAAAGCTGCTTGAGATCTCATGGGCGCCGTCAATTGCTGTGCACAAACTACTCCCGACTGTACTAAAAGCTTTGCCTTGTAGCTTCGTACCCATGTTTTCTACTAACAAGATGTGTGCTGCACCGTCTGCTGTGTCCTACATGCTTCTTCTCATGCACTTGATGAATACAGTCGATGCGTGGAAGACAGGCGATCAGGATCGGAAGCTGAGCAGAGGCGAAGCAAAAGAGCTCATGCCCATGTATGACTACGAGCCGTCACTATCCTTAGATCTCGGAGACCGGGTGTCGCCGAGCACCTATGATGGCAGTGGAGGCTTTTATCCAGGAACTCCTGAATCAGTAGCAAGTAATCGAGAACTGGACGACCGGTCGGTTGTTGTGGTCTCGGCTGATGGTGTCGTCGAGATCTACGGGGATCTGGAATTTGAGCATGATGATGGTCAGACACTCGAGACACGAGCAGAAGAGGAGGTCGAGGAGCTATCACCAGAAGCACGAGCACTTCTTCCTGCGCCCAACTCGTGCCCTCGTTCGGGTACGCAATGTAAACCTATTTGATTCCTACGTCTCATGTACCAACAAGTGCTGTCTCGATGCTTTCATCAGGCATGAATCTCCGTAGTAGACAGTCTCCGACGTTTGGGAGCACCCGATCGCACGTGTCGACGCCACGCCGCACGCAGTCGTTCAATGAAGGTATATGGCTGATGCTGTTGTCTGTCTCTTCTCATGTGGAGTATCTCATTCACAATTGCTGCTTTTTTGTGTGTGTCTATGGTGAGTAGATCCCTACCAAATACGCCTGGACGACTACTTGTGCGCGTGCAAGCACTGTCCTCGAGCTTTGACAATCCAGCGCGCGTTTCAGCTCTACGGTTTCGCACTGGACCATCCACACAGTGATGCCCTTCTCCGTGTGTTGCGTGCCTGTGCTAACTACGACGAGACGATTGTTGAAGTGGACCCGATCCTCGTGCTACATGCCGAGAAGATGCTGGAAGAGCTCAACTTTAACGAGAACGAGACGTTCTGCCTCCTCGTAGCTTCACACTTTCAGCACCCATAGGTACAGTCTCGTGGACTGGAAAAAAAGCAGTCATGCCTCTTTGACATGGTACGCGACATGCTCTTCATTGACAGTCCAGTCCATGTAGCCATCTCTAATGAGCTCGAAAGTATCTATTAAATCAACACATCGGTTTTTGTCGCACTGGATCCTACAGTGTCGCACTTATCGTATCAAAGATACCCACAACGCTGGACTCGAATCAATTACAGCGCTCTGGTCTGATTCTAGTGTCGACAACACAAGCGAAGAAATGAGTGGCTCCATCCACGTCATTCGGAAAAGATCTCCCCCAAAGTCACTCACGACCCAGTCCACCAACAACTGCAGCCAAATGACCCGCGAACGCACGTACATCATGATCAAGCCCGACGGCGTCCAGCGTCACCTCGTGGGTGAAATCATCAAGCGATTCGAGACCAAGGGCTACAAACTCGTGGCGCTCAAGCTCGCGCGTCCGTCGGTAGAGCACCTGGAAGCTCATTACGCCGACCTGTCTGGCCGCCCCTTTTTCCCTGCGCTCATCAAGTACATGAGCTCTGGCCCTGTGACGTGCATGGTGTGGGAAGGCACGAACGTGGTGCTCGAAGGCCGCAAGATGTTGGGCGCGACGAAGCCCACGGACTCGGCGCTCGGCACGATCCGTGGCGACTTTTGCGTGGACGTCGGTCGCAACGTCTGCCACGGCTCGGACTCGGTCGACTCGGCTGAAAAGGAGATCGCTCTGTGGTTCCCGGAAGGCCTCGTGGATTGGAGCGCCTTTGACGACGAGTGGGTGTACGAGCAGTAAAGTCCTCAGGCTGGAGGTGCAGTCAAGCCACTGTGCAGAGGGTAGAGACACTGGGTTTCGTGCTCAGAATCATGATGCATGCTCGGCTGAAAGGCTTTGAACCTTCCGTTAAAAAATAACATCATCTACTGACTCTTGTCGTCATGACGTGAATCGTACTTCCTCTCCTGTTCTGGAAGAATTCTCTGCAAGAACACCCTCGTCGTGTGTGTGTCTCACTTAAGACCAGCTTGTACTAGAGATTCTACCATGTCACACTTGAACAGGCTCTCGACTGGTAGTCCCGTCTCTTGTCATGCTGTTCAGTAGCCAATCACCTGACGACGTCGAACATGTCGCGCATAACTCACGGGCGACTGAGCAGTTCGAGTTGCTCTCTGGCTCTATCCCTCTCTCTGTCAGTGACTGGCTATCTGTATGGATGGATCGATGCACCAATGTACTGTCTCTCTGGCTCTCTTTCTGTCTCACGACGTATTTGATACCATCCGAAATTAAATGAGAGACGTAATGTTATAGCAAATTGCTAGGGATTGATTGATCCGTTTGCGATAACCTTTCCATCCATCCATCGTTCCAAATGTTTCTCTGACAAGCTACTGGACACGACGATTCCTGGTCGTGGTGCCCGACATTTATCAAGCCAAGTGCGTTTAAAGTGAGCCAGACGAAGAAAGAAGCAGCCATAACAATAGCATCAGTAACAGAACATGACGTTGACCGACGAGTACGAGGTGCATGTGCTACCGAGTTTCGTCCCTTTTTTCTGGTGCTTTACGGGCGTTAGCGTCGTGCTGTTCTACTACGCGCTGCACTATGCCCAGAAATACTCGACAACGGCTGCTTTTCTCTTAACGGTGCGTACGTACCTGTGTCTATTGACATTCTTTTCCCAGTGTGTACTTAGATGTGCTGGTTCTTTGGTGGTGCTAACGCTCAGTGTCTTTGTCTCGGTCTTGCAGCCATTCACATGCCTGTGCTTACTGTTCGACAACACTGTCATGGCTACCACTGGTATCGACCGTCGTCGTAGAAGTACGCAAGCCATGCTGGCTTTTCACGCTTGTGTGATGCCATTGCTGCTGTTAGTAAGTTATGAGCTCGCCTACTTGGTCCACAAGCGCAGAGCTGTTAATTTCTGCGGCATTCGCTTTGAAAGCGGACGTGATGATCGTGGCAATGATGTTGGCAGTGGTTCGAGTATGGCGAGAAACCGCCACTGCTGCTGCCGGCTGTCGACGGGTTTGCGGATCCTCGTGTGGCTCGCGGCTTGTGTCCTGCTCGCGTTGAATTTGCTGGTGGCTTACCACTGGACATCAAACCTGTCGCCCGAAGTTACGAGTTTGTATGCAATCCAGGGAGACAGTGTCGCTCATGCGGTGAGTGCTATTGTCCCGGCACTAGTGCTCGTCATCTTGGCACTCTACATTGGACTGCAACTGTGGAATTATGGCACTCATTACTCGTACACGGTCCACGCGACGTGCTGTAATCCGTGGATCTGGATGCTCGTGGGTGCCGTTGCACTGCTTCTTGGCTACCTCATGCCGTCTCCACTCTACGCACTGTCGTCAAATGCCGGTGAAGTGGTCATGATGGCAACCATCGTGCGCATGTTTCGCGAAGTGCACTATGACATGCAGCAAGGACTTCAGTTTGGCGAGTTTGTGGATTCCGAAGGTGCTGCCGGCCACAGTCAAGCGTTCCCACTTTACAATATGGGTCCTGTGAGCTGGAACAAGAGCGCGGGTCAGCACAAAATGAATGCTGAGCAACCGATCGGGTACGCCGCCATGTCAACCCCGAACGAGTGGGCACTTCCTGCTACACTTGCCACCCAGTTTCGTCATGATCAAGCGCAAGATGCACAATCCAGCGCAAGTGCCGCTTGCCTTTCGGTTGTCGTGGATAGAGAGCGTACTAACCAAGTGCCGTGCTAGTAGCGAGAAAGGGGCAGAACCTTATGATGCCCGTGTAAAACCATCCATTTTTATCCTTTCCTCCAGAGCATTGTTACGCGAATCGAGTGCAAGCACGTGAACGGGTCGAATTGTCAAACATCACGCAGTGATATCGGACATGCCTCATTCCCACAAGTTTTGAAAGCACTGAGCCAGCCCACTGATTCTGACGCCTTGGCTAGTGATACGGCGACAAATCCTTCCATGTCTGTCGCGCCTCGACTCCAATTTCTAGACCATCGTTCTCTGCATCTTGACTGCTGTGAAGATTATCCAGCTTAATGACTGCATCTGCAGTGTGATCTCGACAGCATATCTCTGCATTGCTAGTGACAAATGTCTAACCTTTGTAAAAGACGTTGTGTTCACTCTGGCGAAAGAGCAACGACGCCATTGCACAGCATTGGTTCGCAAAAGCATCGGGCAATGCTACACTTGGCATGGCACCTCCAATTTAATGGCGGCTGATCATTCAATTCGCTGTGAAAACATGGACATCACAGTTTGTTTATCCCGGACGCGCCCGATTGCACTGGACCTGACAAACGCTCACCACACATCACTGCAGTTCGTATTGTCATACAAAACTTACACGTTACACCGCTGCAACTAGTCATCCTTCAGCAGCGCGATGCTATCTCAAAAAGGCTCAAGTGCTGTACCGTGTAACAAGCTGTGGCTTCTCAACAGCAAGACGCAGTCAGATGTCGCTAGAGATGGACCCACGACAATAGATAACTGGAAGCGCTATTGGATGAGCTGCAGCAAAACGAGTACAACTTTAGGCATAGCGGAGCAAAAACATTCAAATGACATTGCATTTCACCTTACCAGTGCATCTAACGGCAGCTCGCGGTAACACGTAGGCGTCTTTATATCTCTCGGAATCGATGGTGACCCGAATTGTGCACATAGAAAGCTGCTATATCCCACTCGAGAGCACAACATGAGCTTCCTTCGTGTGTTTCTGTTTCTTCTCAAGAACCTTCATCATCTTTGTGCTGCCTTCCCCAGAAAGCTGTTTCTGTGCCTTGAGCTCCTCCTTTAGCTGCTTCAATCGCTTCTCCTTTTTCTTCTTTCCTGGTTCTTGACCGTGAAATTTGTATGACAACTTGCGAAAAGCCTCCTTCTTCGTAAGTAGGCGACCAAACTCATCGCGGTAGTCTAGCTTTACGCCATTCTTGATACGTAAATCGGCCTCGAAGCTGCGGTCGCGTGCATCGTTGGCTCGACCAGCCTGTCGTTCCACACGAGTCTGGTGGAGATCACCTGTCTTCCGCAGTAGCGCCAGAGTTGCACCCATCCCTGTTCCAACTAGTGGCTGCTCTTCCCCCCAAGTATCATTCTCCTTCGTCTCCTCGTCCTCGCTATGTTCCTGAACTTCCATTACCTCATCAACTTCTGCATCAGCTTTCCGTTCCTCCGTCGCGCTATCACGCTCAGTCACAGGTGCAGCTTTCTTTTCAGGTACTGCCTGGAACTGAGCCGCACGCTTTTCCATGGCGTCGCGCAGCCGTGTCTCGAAGTCTGTAGCTTCATTGAATACGACCGTGTTCAATGCAGTGCCAGTTGTGCCAAACACGTGACCGACAGATTTTTTACCCGGTCGGGCGACTTCGCTCGGTGTGACATCCCCAGTGCCGTCTGTGGCATCTTCAGTGGCTACGTCACTATCGTTGCTCATACTTTGACGCACAAGCTGCGCGATTCGGGCCTCGCTGTTTGGGGGGGCTACGGACACCTGACCTTGATTCAGCTGCTTGGCTGATTGTCGTGCACGGGCTAGCGAAGCGTCAAGTTCTTTTTCAACCATCGCAGTATCGTCCAAAATCTCACTGTCGTCAACCTGTCGTCTCTTTACACTCTTTCTGCTGGTATTAGCAGCAAGCGCCTCCATAGCCACAGCGTTTGCCTTGTCTCTGGCTTCCTGAAAACGATGCAAATTCGCCTCTTCCTCAACGTCATCATCATCACAATGGTTGTGCTTACGTTTTCCGCGGTCTTTAGACACTGATACACCAGTCTGCAAAACTTCTTGTTCCAACTGAGCAATTAACGATGAAGAATCACCACCAGCATCTCCCGCGCGCGTGTTCAGCCGCACCTCCTCGACATCATTTTCGCCAAGATCGTCATTGCAATGACGCCGAGATCGTTTCTTCTTTTTGCGCAGCTTTTTGCCCTTCTTGTGGTTCGAAAACTTTATCTCCACCTCTTCCTTTGTGAAATAGTCCTCTGCTCGTTTTGTTCTATCCATTGCCAACGAAATCACTGCGACATCGCCTTCTTCTTCTTCCTCACGCTTCTGCGCCAGCAATGCCAACGACCCTCCCGACGCGTCTAAGCGAAACTTGTTGGCTGCTTCCGCGTCCACAGCATCCTGTTCTTCATCATACTGCGCCAACAACTTATTTTCTCTTGTTTTCATCTTCCGACCCTTTCCAATCGCAACATCAAACTCATCGTCATCGTATCCAGAATACACTGGCAATACAGCCCGTCTCGCTCTTGCCTGACGAGCCACACGTCGATCTCGCTCGCTCAACGCAACGTTCACCAGCTCATCTTCGTCTTCGTGGTTCAAGTCCTTGCCATCGTGTTGCAGCACACTCGAGTCCTTGAGCGTCAACACAACGTCCTCACCGTCATCAAAAGTGTCTAGCGAATGACCCACTGTCATCCCAGCTAGTGAACTCGCAGCATACGCTGTCTCCTCCTTCTTCTCTTTCTCCTCCTCCTGCTTCTTCTCTTCTGCCGTCGCTTTCCGCGACTGCTTCACCCACTCCAGCACATTTTTCACGCCCGTTCCATTGAGCTTCTTCTCAGCTTCCAAATCTTCTCGTAATTGTTCGCCAAGTGACTTTCCAGCAACTTTTTGCAACAGCTCTCGCCTCGTCTTCGACTGCTCCAGCGACTTCTGGAGCTCTTCTTGCTGCCGCTTCGTAGTCTCTTTCTTTCCACGCACGTCCGTCTGTTCCTTCTTTGCACACGGACGCAACGTCAATGGCTTGAGTCCCAGCGACGCGCGCAGTTTGTTCGTCGCTTCGATACTGAGCGAGCTCTCACCATTCTTTGACTCGTCTGGAGGTGACGCAACGGGCGCGTCACGACTGCGACTGCGAAGACGCGGACGATGAGATGGAGACGCGTGAGATGGTCGAGTACGGCGTGTGGAGGTGGACGAGGGGCTCCCGTGGCGACGCCGGGCGGGCGAGCGCGATCGACTTCGACGTGGAGCCATTTGAGTGCGTGTGATCAGTGGCGAGTTGTAGGTGGTGTGTAGTTGGTGTGGATGGTGTGGAGTACATTGCGTTTGGTGAATGGCTGCATCGAGCAAATTCAAGGACTTGTGACCGCTTGAATGGGGGACACTTAAAATATACTGAGGTGCAGTGTTTAGAAGAATCGTGTTCTATTTAGACTTTCATGTGTATTTTATATTTCGCATGGAAAGCGGATCATGAGTTTTCAGCATGGGAGCCGCTAGTGAGCCTCTTTACTTTTCACTAATGAGCCTTCACCCCCATATATTAAACAAGTAGTTGAATTTGAAAGACACTGCATTGTCAAATGGTTTGTTGTACGTGCTAGAAATAATGCCAATTCCATCTCATATCACCTACTCTATCGTGCTTCTGACGTCCCTTCTTGAAAGAAACATGGATGGCATCGACTCGATCACAAGGAGCTATTTTTTCTGTTGACGAAGCTTGTCACGCGCTTGACGAGCTGAAACTGCTGGAAAGCTCTCATACATCAATTGAACGGCAAAAAGGGTGGGGTAATACCAAGGACAGTGAGGTTAAAGCAGTGAATCTGCAATGCTCATGCAACGCTGTCTACAGTAGGTGATTCGTGGAGTAGGCATGTTATAGCACTCAAGCATGACTCGAGGGTGAGCAGCATAAAACATGTGCAATATGTTCTTACGATCGTTTATTTACGCGTCAATACGAAAGATGGTCTGAACACATTTGCATGATTAGTGAAGTGCCGTCGTCAAAGCTTTTCGCGGCGGTCCTTATATAATTTAGAAAGACGCTGTGTAGGGTAGATGGTATTTGTTATAACCAGGCCGGTACAATCCTATGTGTCAAGTGCTCTCAACCGTCGTAGGGGCTGCTCTATGTGAAGCTGCGGACATGACTGCAATTTTTTCGAATGTGAAAGTTTGCATTCAGCAGCACAAATGTACAAACAATCGAGTTAATAATCCAGGGGTTTGTAATGTAAGCAACTAATGTATAAATGGGGTGAAGACTCATTAATGGAAGGTGGAGGCACTTAGCGGCTCCCTTCAGTATTTGCCGACAAACCTGCATCCCATTCATCAAACACGTAATTGAATAAAAGTCTTTCAATGGTCATTCTGTACTGTTAGACTGCTTAAAAAAGATCGATTTTTGTTAGAAGCTCGAGGACGTACGACGAAAGGAGCTGGCAAATGTAGTACAAGCTAAGACATGCTGTCACGTGAACTGCATGGATAGTACATACTTTTAAAAAGTAAAGTCGGGCAATAACTGAGGTTATAATGTATGATGGCACCAACAGGAGAATAATGCAGAGCAGCAAGAGTCTGTAAAGTTGTTTCAGCTTTACATCTTCTCAATCACTTTCTAGCTTAGCTTCTTATGAGCATCGTGTTTGTTTTAGCTAAGTCAGATTTCTAACAGTTTATTAGCCCAACTATGGCTACGACGCTCATAAATGCAACTCAGGAAGTTACTCGGGACGTGTACGGCGTGGGGTGCGCAAGTTAAGCTAGTGCTCGAGCGTAATGACTTGGCTTGCTTTTAATGAGCCAACGCCAAGTGAATTCAAATCGAAGATGATAAATGACGCTGATTCATAGGTATCGGCTACTTTAGCGAACACTGGATATAGTTTCAGTGATGTCACTCATCGATCTGGTGATAAAGCCGAAGATGGCTGCTTTATCATACTAGCGACGCTGAGCGAGAAAATCACGGCTAACGTATACGTGATGGACCACCCATTCACAATGCCCCATCAGTTGCGTCTAACATACAATTTAATATGCAGTACGAGTATGAAGCCTTTCGATCGTAAGTACATAAAGCTCTTACGCTATATTTATGATGCTATGCTGACCACATTAAAATGACAAGACGTGTCATCGATGAGCTTTAAGAACAGCAAATGAATGTCTCGAAAAGGGAGAAGAGACAAAACTTCATGCAAGTCCCAAGGCCTGTCTGGAACGGGTTTTAAATGTGCTCGAATTATTGTGCAGCACTTGTGGCCACTCTGCAAAGATCTCACCCGGAGGCTATTCGACGTGAGCGGCAGAAGGTGTTGACCAATGTTGAGCTTTCACTTGATGAGGTAGAAAGGAAACTGATATTCAAACTGTGCCGTTATGTCCTAGCTATTCTGCTCGCTATCTCGCACAATACGTCTCTGTATCTGCCGCTCTTACTAGGTCGACTTAATGTCGCTGCGCTACCATTCGACACCACTCCGATGAAGCGCTTCCTGTCCGTTGGTAACTGCAAGCTTCTTCACCCATCTTTGCAGCCCCTTCATCTGTCGACTGTCCTCTTATACACATGCAAACAGTCGCCGACACCAACTTGATCTGACTTGTCGTGCCGCACATCGTGACTCTTCATCCTGATCTTCAATACTTCTCCTTGTCGGCGACTTACACTGCGCTTACACGATGTGTAGCAGTGATCGCAACTTGACCGTCTTGACTGCATCGAGTGCTTTGGTGAGTACGTCCGCAAGCATCAGGTCGCTCGGCACATATTGTGGCACCACAATGCCTCGACGAGCGTAGTCGCACAAGCACTTGATTCTCACATCAATGTGCTTGGCTTTAGTAGACGACGCTTCTCCTTCAATCTGCCGTGTCGCTGCCTGGTTGTCGATGAGCATTTTCATTCGTAGTGCAGGCGACTCACCAATTTCACTTAGCGTCTCATTCACTCCATTTAGATCTCGTCCAGCTTCAGACGCTGCCACAAATTCCGACTCCATTGTCGAGAGCGCCACACCTCCTTGCTTTTTCGATCACCAGCTGATTATCATTACATTTAGCTTGATAACGCTACCGGTTAAAGACTTTCTGTCTGCCTTGTCGGCTGCGTAGTCTGCGTCACTGTAGCTCATTAAAAAAGGTTGTGCAGTTTTTTCGACTGCTGGCTTCATGCTGATCTTAATCCACGCGTGCCACTCAGATAGTGAACGATGCGCTTAGCCAATTTCCAGTCATGAATTCGTGGCTCGTGCGTTTGTCTGGTTGCCTTGTGCACCTCAAATGCGATGTCAGGTCTTGTGCATATCGCTACCCAGAGCAACGGTCCGACAATAGACTGAAAAGCACGAACGCTAGGTTGACCTGGAGTCCCCGTGTCTGCAAGAAGTATGCTGTATACACATTGAACTTCATAAACATCTGTCCCGATAGGCGCACGACTTGAGTTGGCATCGGTCATGCCGTGGTCACGCAGCAAGTCGACAATCGACTCCTCCTGGTCAAGAAAATATCCACGATCTTCGTTGCGCGTCACGCGCATCCCCAAAAACTTCGACACTGGTCCAAGATTTTTAATAGAAAGACTTTCGAGGCTCACAAAAAACCATCAACTGCAACAGCAGATGTTCCAGTCACCAGCAAATCGTCTACCTAGACTCCGAAGATGACGATTCCATCGATGTCGCGCTTGTAATACAAGCAGAGGTCGCTGATGCAGCGAGTTAATACGGCTATCAGTAGCCAATTGTTAAGCAATTGGCTCCACAATCGCCCTGCTTGCTTTACACCATAAAGACTTTTCTTCAGTTCAAGCACGACATCTTTTCAATCTTCGTTGCCCCCAGTTCTTTTAACTCTCTTGTATCAATCGTCATGCCCTTGGGACATGCATCAGAATCTCGAGATGCTGTTCCTTCTCTGCTTTTACGTAAGCATTGGGGAAGTCTTCGTGCTTAGCCGGGACGCCCCATGTAGCAGCTAACGCCAAGATCACTTTCACTGTCGTCACGTCCATGACGGCAGCGAAAGTTAGCGCGTAGTCCACGCCAAAAACTTGTTCATTACCGCAGGAAACGCGCTTTGTGCCTTTTCAAATCTTTATCGGCAGTCGTCTTGGTCTTAAAGACCCATTTACTGTGGAGAACGTTGCTGTTGCTTGATCGGAGCGTCAAACACCACACTTCGTTTCTTTTGAGCGCGTCCTGCTCCTCACGCATTGCCTTTTGCCACTCGTCTCTCTTCTTGCTCTTCATTGCTTCGCCATAGTTGCGAGGATCTCTTTCGAATACGTGATTGACGACATCTGCGCTGACAGCTACTTCTTGTTGGCTTGCAGCTGCTTTCTTTGCCGCACATATTGTCACGTGTGGCTGGCGAGTCCACTGTTTCTTCTTCTTGGGCCTTTTGCTCGCAGTAACACTACTGCTCTGTCTCGCAGGTGTCTCAGTGCCTTTGTCTGAATCTGCCCGGTCATCGTCATCAAGGACTAGTTGCAGCTGCCTGTTCTGGGCTTCAGACAACGTTTCAATATTCTTGACATGCTGCATCGTGATGACCTTGTTTTCCTTCCTGATGAATAATCTGAAACCCTTGGTTTCGTCACTGCATCCAACGCTCGTGCCCACTTGAGCGCGGCGCGTAAACGTGTTCTTGCTTGGATCACGGTAGACGGTAGAGTGGGAGCTAAACACGACGATGTTGCGCAAAGCCGGCGATTTATTCGTCAGAACTTCAAGCGGCGACGCTCTCGTAGGATTCGAATGCGTGGGGCTCCTGTTTAGAGCATACGTGGAGGATTCAGCGGCATCATCTCAGAACGTAAGGGGCAATCCAGACGCGAAGATCATCGCTCGTGTCATGTTTAAAACGGTCCTGTGCATTCTCTCGGCTTTCCCATTCAACGCTTGATTTCGCGCTTCACTCACTTGTCTTGCAACGCCTGTCTTTTTGCAGAACAGGTCAACATTCTGGTATTATTCACCACCATCTGTTCTGAGAACCGCGATTTTTGCACTCAAATCGTCGCTCAAAGAACACCAAGAAGTGTTCGAGCTTCTTTACCGCAGCGTCCTTGGTTCGAGCTAAGCAAACTCGACAGTAGTTGGTCTTGTAATCGATGAAGTTGATCAGATATCGGTTTCGAGATGATCCGCAGGCGTTAGTGGCCATTTTGGGTCCGAGCAGATGACACCGCCGATGCGGTCGATCGGGGCCTTCTGTCCAGAGTCTTTCTGGTTCTGCTTTTTTTTGTCTGCTTGGATTGTGCGCACGTGACGTATGTCATCCGTTTGTGGTCCGTCAGCTCGATACCCGAGCTTGGATTTCTCGGGACCTTTTCAATTGCATCGTACGACAGATGCCCCATGCGTTGATGAAAGTGTAGCAGAGATCCACGATGCATCTCCGAAGTCATTCCATCTGCTGCCTTCTCCTGAATGGCAGCCATTATAACATCCGCTGTCTCCTTTTGGCTTACACCCTTTTTACCTTCTCGACGATTAGCACACTATTCTCCATCGTCACGTCGAACGCGACTTGGCCTCATTCCGTCGAGCTACTGATCGCTAGCCATTAGAATCCTTAAGACTGTATCCCTTTTGATCAAGCTTGCCATAGCTGATGATGTTGCGGGCCAGACTCGGTGAATAGTAGACGTTCGTGAGTTTGACTGTCTTTTCTTGTCCATTGGCAACCACGGAGAGTCTCACACTACCAACCTTGGACAGACCGACCTCCTCGTTATGATCTAGCGAAACTACATCACTGCAAATCTCTGCGTCGATCAGCAGGCGATCGTCGTTCACCAGGTGTCGACTGGCACCGCTGTCGAGTATCCAGGCGTCGTTCACATTGTCGCTGTCTTCATTAACAGCAAGAACCACCTCGCCGTCGTTCTTGGCGCTCTTGTTGACGTTTCTTTTTGACCTGCAGTTAATCTTCTAATGACCTTGTTTGCCACAATTGTATCATAAACGCGTCTCCTTGCGACGTCTTTAATCAGTGACAGCGGCGACTAACTCGCGTCCCAACTTCCTTCCGGTCTTGTTCTCGAGCTCAACAGACTGTGCAAAATGCGCAAGCTCTTCAGCTTGGCACAAATGATCGTGTCGGTCATTGTTGTACTTGGCCATCAAAATTGTTGTAAGATCAGCCTAAGCATAGTAAACAATGTTGTCGAGAACTTGTGCTTCTGCACCTCCACCGCAGGCATCGCATACAGCAACCATATACAGGTAGTGTTCAGGCCATGATCTCTTGGGATCCTTTCTTACAGTGAAACGTTTTATGCTTTGCGACGCCGTAATTGTAGTCTTGAATGTGTGTAGCAACCGGCCCATAGCGTGATCGAGAGAGGCTTCTTCGAGCCACCCAACGTCCACTTGTTTTTGGTAGTACCGCTCTGCTGTCCCACCTAGGTAGTGTCCCAGCAAGTCGACCTTGACATCTTCAGCCCTTGCAAATCCGCAGGCCTGCTGCGCCATAGTGACTTGGCGCAAAAACGTGCGACCCCAGTTAGCAGAACCCGATCCGAGACCTTGGTACAGTCCTGTACCATCAAACTTGCGAATAGCAAGCTTACGTTGGCGTGCGTCCGGGACACGCAACGGCAACTCCTGCGTCGGTGCCTGCTGCATTGGTGGCACAGGTGCATGAACGTCTTCAAAATCTAGAGGCGACACTGGCGCATAGCGCGGCGCCTGTGGTCGAGCAGCGCCCTCTGGCTGTCGCGGACCGACATACCGTGGGCCGAACTGCTGGATTGGCGAGTCACCTGGTTGCATCACGCGAACACGTCCATGCGGCTGCCTCGGAGCATCATATCCTAGCGCGTCACGATGTAGAGTCGCACCGCCCATACCGCGTCCCAGCGCTGACGCAAAAAAGCCACTGTCGATCGCGCCTCGCAGTCGCTAGTCCTCGTCGATCTGCATCTGCTACGCCTCGAGCGCTTGCATGCGATCCGTGAGTGCAGTCAGCATTGTGAGGATCCTTTCGTCGGTCCCCGCACCCCTTTCGCGGGCTTGGGTATCGCTAACAACGGCGGCCCTTTCGTGGCCGTGGTCTGCAGGTGCAGAAGTCTTCATTTCATCATTCGGAGGAGCCATCATGTCTTGGGCTCATAACCTGTTGACCAATGTTGAGCTTGCACTTGATGAGGTTTAAACTGTGCCGTTATGTCCTAGCTATTCTGCTGACATTCAAACTGTGCCGTTATGTCCTAGCTATTCTGCTCGCTATCTCGCACAATACGTCTCTGTATCTGCCGCTCTTACCAGGTAGACTTACTGTCGCTGCGCTACCATTCGACACCACTCCGATGAAGCGCTTCCTGTCCGTTGGTAACTGCAAGCTTCTTCACCCATCTTTGCAGCCCCTTCATCTGTCGACTGTCCTCTTATACACATGCAAACAGTCGCCGACACCAACTTGATCTGACATGTCGTGCCGTAAATCGTTACTCTTCATCCCGATCATTAACAGAAGGGACGTCTGCTAACTTATCCTGGTACAGCTGCTGCCAAGATGCCGCTGTTTTGCACAATAAGAAGAATACTGGACGTTAACCTGTTAAGTTAAAAAGGGATAGAGACATGCTTAAGATCAAGTGCTACAACTGCAATCTCTGGGGTCATTTTGCGAGGAAATGTGAAAATAAATTGATGCCTCCATCAAATAAGAAGAAGCAGTTCGTATGTGTTTCAGTGGATGTCGCGGCAACTGATTTACGAGCGTGAATGGATCGTGGACAGTGATGCAACAATACGTATGACTGGTCATATTGTTCCTTTCATCGATGTTTACACACCAGACGAGCCTCTTTTTGCTAATTGTGAATACGTTAGAGATGATGTTGACTACTGAAGGAGGAAAGGCGACACTATGGTGCAACGGCAACGAGGTCTGTCACACAATAGATTTTCTGTATGCCAATTGTCTGGCGAGTAATCTTGTATCTGTTTTGGCAGAGTCTCACAATGGCATGAAAATCTTTTTATAGGGAGAATCGTAGGTACTTCTCTCTGACGATAGAAAGACTTTAAAAGAGTCAAGAAAATAACACCACGCGTTCATGGTTTTGGAACGGAGTAAACTTAAACTGGATTTGCCATGTTGACTACAAAATTGCCACACCTAGAAACGTGGTATCTTCAGCTTGGTAATCTGAATACAGAGCGTACAAATAGTTCTCGCTGGCCTGAACCTAGCGTAACGAGGGGTAACGGAGCGAGCGTGACCTATCTTTGTATCGAGCGTGACCTATCTTTGTAGGTGGACAGATGATTCGGAAAGCGTTTGCTGCTATAGAAGCCTCGACACTTTGCAATTTATAATCAGATCCTACTTGCGGTTGACTTGCTGGTCCAATGAAAGTGGAGGCGAATAGTGTATAAATATACAATATCAATTTCATGAGTAAGCTAGGTCATTTACACACAATTTATCCCCTCCGTGACATTAGCTGCCACACTCAACTGGATGCGATCATGGAATGTATCGTATAACATCAGGCCTACGCTTCAAACCATAATGTAGCATTTGAAGTCTGGTAATGCAGCTGAGTACGATGGTAGAAATATCGCATCGTACTGCAACCAAAACGAAGTTTTGCAAAAGCCTACTAATTTGGAAAAAAACCAGCACATCGGAATGGTAGAGCAGATCGCGTCATTGCGGAGATGGCAAAGTCTATGATGCTTGGGTCTCGTTTTCTAATGTCATACTAGGCAGATGCCGTTATTTGTGCTGCGTACATGTGCGTAAGATGCTTAATAAAGTTGACTGGTGATAAGACTACATTATAGGCTTTGCTGATAAAAGTGTTATATCTTTGTTGCGTTCTCGTTTTTGGGTACGAAATTGAAGTATCGGTGACCCCGCAAAATAAAAAAGTTGACGCAAATACACGAAACTGCATCTTTGTTGTGTACGCAAACGGCGATATGTACTTAGTTGACTCTCCCGAGAACAGAGCTGGATGCACGATTACGACTCGTACCGTTGTATTCTATGTAGTCCACTTCCTGCCTGCGACTGAAGAAGACGAGGTCACTATCAGTGCGCAGTTTGACGGATAAGTATCGGAGATCGTGCAGCTCACCCGCCAGCAGTTTGAGTAAATTTGAGCAAAAAATACAAGTTTGAAAAGTTAACTTGGTCTAATAACTTTGGAGAATACTCCACACCACGTTTGAAACCAAAAGGAGAGATAAGATCGTTCTGAGGTGATCCACGTCAAGAGAAGGCGCCTCGTCCGATACGTCGAGGTGATCCACGTCAAGAGAAGGCGTCTCGTCCGATACGTCGATTGTGCATTATCACAAAGACCAGCTAACGACGCCCGTACTTAGATGATCTGCACATTGTACTATCTGATGCGTGCAATGCTATTAAAGAGCAAATATTTTAGCAAATGCAGTAGAACAATTTGTGCAATGGATATATCGTCGTGAGATTGGCACCAAATAATGATGGAAATATGAGCATTCGAGGTCGTTCCAACAAATGTTTTGGAATTCGAGCAGTCAGAGTTCCGGATCAAGTGGAAAGAAGCCATGTGCGAATAAATCGGTAGTCTACAGCAAATCAGAGCTCTTCCAAAGTTCCAATTCCACCGAGCGGCTCGGTGATCGATCCAAGTGAGTATATAAAAGAAGGTGAGCGTGGATGGGATTTTGGACGTAGAACAGTCTCGAGTAGTTACCAAGGGTTTTTCAGCCAACGTCTAGGCGAGCACTTTACCAAGGTATTAAGTCTTGCAGTTGTGATATTCAGTCCTGCAACAAATCACACTTCGAATCGGACTTGCGATAGCCGCATCACACCGCATGCTTCGCATGCAACTTGATGTCAAGACTTCTTTCTGGATATGGAGCTAAACGTTTTCATTTTATCTAAGCCCGTTGGAATGGTTTAATTTGTTAATGGGCAAGTCTGAAGACTTAGGCGGGCACTACATGGTCTACAACAGTCCTAAAAGGTTTAAAGCGATAAATGTACGGCACTCTTGTTCAGAATTATTTATCGCCATGTTGCAGCAGACGGATGCTTATTCGTTCATTGAGCCGGCGAAAATTTAATGATCGTTCTTCTGTATGTAATGGACATCTTGGCATTCGCCATAAAATTATGCGGATTTCGCTGAGCTCCAGGCATCTCTTTAAAAACGTACGGTGTCAATTTCTCCGCAAAAGTAAAATAGTTTTTAGTTCCGGAGATGCATTGGTCAGGTAGCCGCGATTGAGTGCGGATTATTTAGAAAAATTGAAAATTAACAATTTATAACGATTTGGTATGGGCCCTGCACGAGCTTTGCGCCCACCTATGAGAATATTACACATGTTCATATCCTGCACTAGCTGATCAAAAATGTCGGATTTGACACAATTATGTTCGCATCCCGCACTAGATCAATATGATGTCTATCGGTGACCCGAATTCATACAGCTGATATATATTCTCGCTTAAGAGATCTAGCTTCCAACAAACAGCTTAAAGATCAGTATGAATTGCGTATATTGCTATTTAAATGGTCTATGCAATTTTGGACTATAACTTTATAGGTGGTTTAGGTGATAATTTGAAAGTTTACTGAGATTTGGCGTTTCCGGTGAAGAAGAAATCCAAGTCCGCGACGGGATATGCGATTAACTACGACGGCTTTTCTGTCGAGTTAGGATTTAAAGACATCCCATGACGACGTTGTCATCTACAATTTTAAATTTACAGGCGTCCAAATTAAAATGAGCTAAACATGATTATATTGGACTTAGAGTTATGGTAGACAAGATTTTTTTTGACTAAGGTCAAACAAGGTGCCCAACAAGTGGCATATAACAAAGCGCTGACACAGTGCTAGCGTCACACAGACAACAATATTCATTTGTTGGGTGATAAATTGGCTCTTTAGACTTCTTACACGTGAGAAAATACTCTATCATGTTACATTGCCGCTAGGCCAAGTTCAAGAATTATTGTAGCTAAGCCGGTGTTCGGTGACTAGAGAAAATTCATTTATCAGTACCACAATGTACAAAATTCCTAAAACCTTTAGTAACTTTAGCCGAGTTTAAATTTGTCAAATTAATATTCAATGAGTATGTAAACTGTTAAAGTCTTATCTACTTTACATGCAATGGCAATATGGGATAAGAAACTGCTTGGTTGATAATGAGTCTCTACATAGATAAACAACTATCACAGGAGTGGTTGCAAAGTACTCCATTTTAATAAACCATTCCTTCACTTCCCAATGTGCACCCACGCGCCGATGTACGCACTCGCAGTGTGTACATTGCGCGCAAGCCATGTCCCGATCGCACGAAATCGACGATCTCGTGATGGTCGAGACTCATTGTGACACAAAAAAACCGTTCGTGAGCAGAAGGTAGCAGAAGGTCAGTTCTCGCTGTTGGTTTTTTATTGTGCTGTGAAAAGATTAGGTTTGGCCCGTGTGTATATGTTGCAGCGCGAGGAGTTTGATAGACTAGACGATAACAAGATGATGACCAATGCACACTTGTCACCAACTGTTAGCAGCGGTAGCAGAAGGCCAGTTCTTGCTGTTGTTGTCGACAATGTTGCGTAACGATTGCGTACGTGTGTAATGTACGGTTATACGTCAGCAAGATTTATCTTAGAGGTTTTGAAAGATGTTAATGTGAACTGCTGAATCAGTTCATGCTCGTCAAGACTTGCTTTGTTTTTTCATTTGTTTGTTTTTGGAGGTCGCAGCATACCCTGCATTATATATTTGAAAATCACAGCGGCAATTTAAAATGTAAAGTATTTATGATTTATATTCAGCAACATTATCTGTATTTCGTGTGTCTGTTCATCTTTTCGAATATACAACTTA